TCATATGTCTTCCCAGGATCTCCAGTAAGCGTATAGGTGCATGTGAGCTTTTTGGTGAACGCGCTTTGCGGTACTTTCCAACCACGAGACAGGTCGGATATTCTCAAATTAGTTGTACCGCATTCCGCGTCTTGTTGTGCCACCGCGATAACTGTGAAAATATGAACAATATCTGTCAATGAGTTCTCAAACAATCACTGTGAACGAAGAATAAATGCTTCGTGTATCGCATTTGTGATAAAGCCTTGTGTTTTTCTAACTGGCCATCGGGCTATCATTTCGACTTTCACCAATCATTTTCACGAAGTAGTACACCTATTCCCACACACAACCCCTTTTGTTGTGTTTCTTCGTGATAAGTGCGTTTCACTTTCTCATTATTCTATTCTGTTCTATTCTATTCACTTATATATTTTCTCTTTCAATTCATTGAAGCTATCGAAACATATTTGCGACTACTCACACGCATTGAGTAACAAAATCAAAAGTATGTAGCTCATTTTGTTTGAAATATCTTTTGTGTTTCGTCTTTCTCGATCTGTTTTATACACTCATTTTACGTAGGCGGCTCAATCATATTCATCGAAAATTACACCAGTCCTCCTTGAATTGTGATTGGTTTTTCTCTGATTACTTTTCATCAAATACTAGAGATGTGCTTTAGCGCGTTCAGTTGCGTATTATGTTCATATCTCTGAACACATTTCGGAAGCTGATCCGGAGGAGTTTGTCCGATCGGTTTCGCTCCTCGAATTTTGGCATCGATATCTGTGCAAAGAGAGCAGGGCTGAGAGCGTTTTTCTGTTGTGTGCATAGAACGGAGTGCGTTTCCATTATATCATCTTTTCAATATGATTATCATACAACCACTGCACTAGGAACTAGTCAGAACCCTATTTTGTCAACTGTTCTCCCATGTAATACTCGTAACTTACGTTCAAAACAAGAAACATTCACTAATGCAGTATTACATAAATTGTATATTTGGATATCGTGTTGCGCAAAATGGGAAAACAGTTTCACACAGCTTTTCGGCTCGTCTGTTGTTCACCATTTCTCGAATGCCCACTTCAAAATGACAAGTCCACCTACTTCCGTTTCAGTATACATTACACAAAAATATGTCACGATTCTATCGGCTTCCCACTCCTATTATCCTACAAAAAACGCACAAAGTTTGCTTTGGAAGTTGAGATACCAAATCAAAATAAGCTATTATATCACCCAGAAATAAAGGTTCTATGTGCTATCGATTAGGATTCCTGTAGCTCCTAAGGGTAGCCTCAAATTGAAAATGAAAGCATTAAACATATTTGCTAAATGCTCGATTGCAGGCAGCAGCGTGAATGCACTCCACAACAATTGAGTTAACAAGAAGAAGAGATCTTACCCAAATTATTTTTTCCTCTCACTGGTGAACAAGGAGGAACAGCTGACCAAACTGTGCTGAGATGAGCTAGATCCGTGGCCCACAACAAACTCGCAAATATCGGTTATACAACATCGTGTAAATGGCAAATGAAAAGCTGAAGATAAATTGCGCGGTGGCCGAGTGGGTAGCACACTGGCGTTCTGCCTGTGAGGTCCCGGGTTCGATCCAAAGTTGGATCGATGGGTTTGCGCTAC